CCACTGTCTATCAATTTCCTTAAACCCCTAGTTAATGCACATTGCTGTGCATTGGAGGTGGGCTGACCTCCAAGGCACAATTCTTCCACAGAGTGCTGTGATTTCAAGCACAGGCCCTTCCTTTCTTCCTTCCTTTCTATGTTTTCAAGACAGGGTTTCTAGGTGTAGCCCTGGCTGTCCTGGAGCTAACTCTGTAGACCAGGCTGGCCTTGAACTCAAAAGATCTTCTCACCTCCGCCTCTCCAGTGCTGGGATTAAAGGCAAGCACCACCCACTGCCCAGCCCACAACTTTATTTACTTTTTTAAGAATGGAGAGTCTGGTGGCATACACCTTTAATGCCAGCATTTAGGAGGCAGAGGCAGGCAGATCTCTGTGAATTCAAGACCAGCCTGAGCTACAAAGAGAAACCCTGTCTTGAAAAACAAAACAACAACAAAAAATACTAGTTGAAAAGATTGACACACATTAAAATAATTGTTTAATTAGAAAAATTCAAAGACATTTTTATGTTTACTTGTTTGTTTTTTGTTTGTTTGTTTTAACAGACTATCGTGTATCCAGGCTGGTGTTGAACTTCGGATCCCCCACTGCCTCCATCTCAAAAATGCTGGGCTTTTAAGTGTGTACCACCACACCTGGCTTATAATTTACTTTGAAAAGCTAAGTATAAGCTGGTTATGATGGCAGGTAGCTGGATTCCCAGCTACTGGAAGGAAGATATTCATCCCAGGAATCTGGGTCCAGCCTGAGCAATACAACAAGACCTTGTTCCTTAACAAGAACAGAATAACACACAGTAGACTCTCCTTTACCATGGGATTTCACCAACCCTGGAGTAAACCAAAAAAGAGAGACACATAGTAGAATTTAAAGTGGAAGGGGGAAAACTACAAGAAAACCAAATAAACACCAAATAAAGTATTTTATCCCATCATGACATGGAATCTATGGCTGGCCAAGAAACTGTGGGCTCTAGGGGAGAAGTTAAGAACTTTTGCTAGTACAAAATATTTTGCTAGTACAAAAATGTCTCTTAATGACTTATTGGTCTGCCCATAGATAAGACCATCTCTCAAACCTCATTGGAGAAGCTCCTTGCAATAGATGGCAATTAACATAGAGCCCCTCAACCAGTGAGTGTGCAGAGTTGAGACTAAAGTACTCAACACTAAAGGGAACCAACATATCACATCCCTCCAGGAAAGTCTCAAAGATCTTGTAAAGACTGAGGTGGTGGACAACTGCATATAGAAACTCACAGTGGCTATGACAGCATACACAAGACCTGTACAAACTCAAACCAGACAAAATCCCTGCATGGGGGTGAGGGGTGGGCATGAAATCCCACCAGTAGCTGAGGAGCTATTGGCATTTGATGGTTATTAAGAGAGGGAGTAAGTTTTATTTAAGGGTGTGATCCCTGGTAGACTGATCATACTTCAGGGCAGTAGAGGCACTTATTTTTAATCCTAGCACCTGGAAGACAGAGGTAGCAAGCAGATCTGAGTTCAAGGCCAACCTAGTCTACAGATCAAGGTCCAGGATAGCCAGGGCTACATAGAGAAACCTTGTCCTCTAGGGTGGAGGATAGATCTGGGAGCTTGGGGGATGAATACAATCAAAACACACTGTATGAAATTCTTGAATTAATAAAAAAAATATTTTTAATTCAAAAATTATTTCTGGGAAACTCAAGAAATAAATTCTTGGGGGGGGGGATATGAAATATAGGGCTAAAGTGATAGCTCAGAAAGTAAGAGGTCTTGCTGTTCTGTTCTTACAGAGGACTGAAGTTTGCTTACCAAGACAGACCATGCAGGGCTCACAAGTGTCTGAAACTTCAGCTCGGGGGAACCCAACACCCTCTTCTGACCTCTCTGGACACACACATTCACAAGCACATAAAAACCCACACAAAGACATACATGCATACAACTAATTAAAATTAAAAACAAATCTTGAAAAAAAATGAAACTCTAAGATTCACACAATAGAAATTTTACACAAATCAATAAATATTAAATAAATTGAAAAGTCTTCTCCAAAAAAAGGATCTAGACCTAAATATATATGCATGCCAGCCATTCAAGGGCAATAACTCCAGTCCAAACTGCTCCTGAAAAGACAGCAAGAAGGAAAGCTACCCAATTATTCTATAACTACTATAATCCCAAACCAGCACAAACTAAGACTTGTATCAGAATTGGCAAGAATACAAAGAAGAGTCACAGTATCAGGAAAGAAACCAGGATCTATGAATGCTGGCTACAGACTAGACTTGGGAAAGACTCGGGAGAGAATTGCTCTTGATCCATTCATTAACAGGATAGGTAGCACTATAAGGCAACGGCTAAGGAAGAGTTCATATGAACTAGACTACCAGGTACAGTTTTTTTACATAAAGCAACCAGAGGCCTCAAGTTCAGAAGGCAGATCAGGATTTGAGAAATAATCAAACAGAAAAAATTCTGAACAATAATTCAGAGGAGGGCCAACCAGATGGCTCAGCAGGTAAAAAAAAAAAAAAAAAAAAGGTGTCTGCAACCAACCAAGCCTGATGACCTGAATGCCCAGGACACACATGGTGGAAGGAAAGACTCACCTCTGCAAGCTGCCCTCTGACCTCCAAAAGTGTGCCATGCAGCATACACACAGAAATAAGTGGAATAATTCAAAGGACTTAGAGATATTTTTTAAAAAGTGGTGTGAAAAATGAAACCTGGAAAACATTTAGAATACTTAGGAGAAAGAAGGAAGAACAGAGATAGAAATCGGGCAAAAAAAAGAATAAAGCCATCATGTCACAGAAGCCTCCTTTTCATCTAATTCTTTCTCCCCTCACAATTGTGTCAGGATGCAAAATAACATTTTAGGGAAATCTTCCTACATTCTCTCAGCAACACCAGCACCAGGTCGGGTCTCCACTCTAAGCTTCTATAATACCCCACACTTTAATTATCATCACAATTACACTTAATTATATAGAACTCATCCTTCCACATGTCTCCCCCACTAGATGTTAAGCTCACGAGTATAGGACTGTATGTGTGGGTGCCCAGACCCCACCCTTAGTGGGTCAGAAAACAGTACATATTCCTCCGATGAAACATATAGGTGAATGAACAGCAAGGATCCGGTTTAAAGATGTGGCGTACAGCTGGGAGTGTAGCTCAGTTGCAGGGGCTTCCTGAGCAGATACCTCGGGACTCAGAGCACTGCTTGGATCTGATTAGACTATACAGCTCCTTCCTGAACTTAAAATACTGTCAACACGGCCTCAATGCAATGTATGGTCACCGGTGCCCAAGGAGGAAAAGTAAGTCTCTTCTTGGCAGTCTCTCCAGGAGAGATTACAGATGACTGTATTTTAATTTTACTTCAATTTTGCTCTATTTTGCAATTTCTCTTTAACGACCATGTATTACTTTTGTAAGAAAAAACTTTAAAATGTTAATGATTTGAAAAGGAAATACAACACTGCCTGAGAGACTAGCAAAACAGTTTTGTTGTTGTTGTTGTTTTTGTTAATTAAAGGATCCTAAATACATGTGTACTTTTAAAAACCCCCAAATACCAGCCAATTCTACATAGCCAGTTCGAGGCCAGCCTTAGCTATATACTGAAACTCCGTTTCAAAACAACAAAAAACGAAACAAGATAACAGAGATAATGCTCCAGTATGTAGGAAAAGGGGATGAATCAAGGTGTTAACTAGTAAAGTGGCTGGGATCCTCCAGAAGGAAAGTAGATCTGAGAAGGAATCCAAAGCAAAAAGCACCCGCTGGTTTGAAAGGGCTCCACCGAGAAGGGGGGTTGAGGGGGAGATAAAACAACAGATATCGATTAAATTAAAAAACGCATTCCAAATTTAAGTCTGCCTTCCATAAACTCTTGAGTTCCTACAGAAGTGTTCGAATTTTAGTTCTGACTCTAAAAAGCTAAGATAAATTCAACATCCTTTTAGTTCAACTGAGAGCAATGATAAGCATTAAGTTACCTTTTGCTTTATCTCCAAGTTTAATTCCCCTCACTAGCAAACACAAGTCGTTCACAACTGAAGCAACACGGGATTTCATGCATAACTGGAAAACGCTCTAAGTCTTTGCACAATTTGCTTTTGTACGAGGGCCATACCCTTGAATACGACGTCCCTGGGTCCAATCCCAGCTCACTAAGTTATTTAACCTCTTCGTCTCGGTTTCCTCCTCTAAAACAACAAAGAATACAATAACCAGAGTTATCTTAAGAAGTAAACGACGTGACATGAATGCTAAGCTCTTATCATGTCCTCAGAACAGTTTGTAAACGGTTTAAAAGAGAAAATCGGCAGCCCCTTAACCAAATGAAAAGATCGATCGACATCGCGACGAAGTCTTACAAGTCACAAAACGCCAGACACTAACACACAACGTTATTACTTTTCTTCCCTGACTCTTTCCTTTCTCTCTCTCTCTTCCTTTCTTTCTCCTTTTTCTTTGCCAAATCTTCCCGCTAGGAGACTGGGAGGGGAGGGGGGTATACACGCAATCCAGAACAAAGTTTTCCGAAATCGAAGTGCACAATCACAACAGACATGGCAGCGGAGGCCGCGCAGAACAACAGGTGAACCAACTCGCAGGGACCGAAGGAGAAGCCCGGCGCCTTCCCGCAGCCAAGTTGGGCGGACGGGCCGATCACTTAGTCCGGCCTCCACCCCCGCACCGAACACGCTTCGTTCTCTCTTTTTCCAGCAGAGTCCCGAGACCCAGCCCCAGATTCAGCGGCGCAACTGTGGAGCGGGAGCAGAGCGCCGTTCCCATTTAAGGACTCCAGAAGCGTCCTCCGAGTGGTGGGAATGCGAACAAAAGGGCGAGCGCGGCCGGCCGACCGGGCCGGGCCGGGCCGCGGGGCCGGGGTCTCCCGCAGGCCCCGCTGAGGCGCGTCGCGGCCCTGCCCGGCACCGCCACCGTCGCCCCGAACTCCGCCGGCCCTCCCGCACTCCGCAACCCGCCAACTCACCGGGATCCCGAGAAACTCATCCTCCAGCGCTCGGCGCAGGCGGGCACGGACAGCCGCGGGGCGCCGGGGCCCGGCTCGGCCTCCGCCCTCGGCGCGCAGCGGCCCGGGCCCTGTCGCCCCTCGCGCGGCCGTGCGATCCTCGTCTCGCGCGGGAGCCCGAACCTCCCTCCTCCCTCCTTCCCTCCCTCCCTCCCTCCCTCCGCCCTCCTCCTCCTCCGCGCGGCCGGCGAGCAGATTCCAATCTCTGCCGCCTCAGCCGCCGAGGACGCGAGCTCGCGGGGAGGGGGGAGGGGCGGCGCGTGGGGGAGGGGCGGCCCGGGCGAGAGGCGGCGGCGCGCGCGCTCTCGGGAGCACCCGCCAGCTCTGCGCGCGCGCCCGCCCCCGGGGCGCCGGCCCCGCCCCGGACACGAACGGAGCCGAGAGCTCGACGGAAGTGCCCGAAGGGCCCGAGGAGCCCGGCGCCCCTCTGCCGGGAAGAAGGGCCGGCCGCCGGCACGGGGGCGCCAGGTTGCCGCGGGGAGGGGGGCCGCCCCTTGGCGCACGCCGCCGCCGCCTCCCGCGTGACGGAGGGGCTGCTTGGACGAGGCTGCGGAAAAGTGGACCGTGCGGGCACAACCCCTTCTCGAGCCGAAGCTCGCCCGCGCTATGTGCACGTGAGAAGTGGCGGACTTGCTCCGAAGGCACTGAGACTCCACGGTGCGGGATCGGTTGCCAGTTCGGGGTTGTCGTTGAAAAGAAACATGTTGCCACACTGCATTCATTACCACCCCCACCCCTACCCCGCTCCCGGTGTCTGGTTGTGGCTCCCGCGGAGGGACGTGGGGGTGCACGCGTTCTCGGGAGCACGCAGCGAAAGCCGCGCTTCGGCCCCGGGGTCGGGGCGCTGGGGTAGCTGGGCTCTGCGGGCCCGCGAATTCCTGGGGCGTAAGATAAGGAGCGGCGGGAGCCGGCTGAACTGAAGTCAGCCGACTATAAATACGACTCGCAATCCACCTTTGGCTCAGCCCAGTGACCTCATATACCCTCCCGAGTCCCATTCCCTCATTTTAGAAAAAGCAAATAGCTGTCACTACCTCTTCTTCCTTTTCCTCTCCTTCTTCGTGCAAAAAAGCCGTTACAAGTGTTCGGTGACCTGTTTATGAAGAAAGAAAAGATAAACCCCTTTAAACCAGATGTTAAATACCTAACTTCTTCGGTAAGTCAACAAATACAGTATTCGGTTAATTCATTTTTCTGAAAGAACTTTTAAAATGTCTTGGGAAATCATTTAAATAGAAGAGAGAAGAGACTGTGGCAGGCACACATTGGGGGGGGGCAACTTAGACTCTAAAGTATTCCTTCAGATTCAGCTGAAAAGATTTAAATTCCCTTATATTCTGTTCAAACTGTTTTCTGTGCCCTTTTCTCCTTTTGCCTTCACCTTCAGAACCCATGACTATCATGCCTCCATGATAGTCAACTACATTTTAGTCATGTTCTCTCGTCTTTTTTTCTGAACTCTTGGGCTGTCACAGTTTTGAGTCATTGTAACATTCTCACTGTAATGAAAGTATATTGTGATATCATTGGTTTCTTGCATCCACTAAAGATTCTCACTTTTCCTCCTTGATATTTCTACATACTGCCCCTCTTTAATTTCAAGGAAAAGAGTGACCCTTTTGTTCCAGACTCATTGACCAAAAGTTTTGGCCCCATCCATGTACTGTGACAGAGAAAACCATGGCAAGTGGACCTAGTGTGACCTCTGCAGCCTAATTTGATTTGGGGCTAGAAATCAGCCTATAAGGACCCAAGAATCTCAGGTTGGAGCTTTAGGCTGTCAAGCCTGAAATGCACATGTGGATGCTGGCTGACTTGAGTTACATGTAACTGAAATGATAGCAAAATGTAAGCATCAGATTTTAATTCATATCTTTGCTTCTCTACAAAAGATCCTTTTCAGGTATTTGGGGATGTAACTTGCTATTCTCATGCTCTCCTTAAATCAACTCACCTAGTACCCAGCTTAAAATGGCAGCATATCGCAGCCCACAGCCTGCCTACAGACAAGTGAGCTGAGCCAGGACATGGTTTGCTTTTTGGCTCCTGGCATGTATAAGCATGCCAGCCTGTTTCTCCGGTTTGCCTGCCCACTAAATGAACATAGAGCCAAGAGCCCAAGGAGACATCTGGACACGTATGGTCTGGCCCCCAAAGTCAAAGGCAACACTTCAAGGTTCAATTTAACATTCCATAATGCAGTAGAATTCCTTTAAGTGGGTTAATAGAGGGGACTAGAAATAGGCCTTTTCCTCTAGGCAGTTAGTTTTATCATAGGTCCTAAGAGTGGCAGTTGTTACCTGAACAAATCAGGAAGTATTCCCTCCCTATAGATCATGGCTCCTCCTCCACATGTTATTTTGTTTTTTGAGACCAGGTTTTTCTGTATAATATGTAGCCCTGGCTGTCCTAGAACTCACTTTGTAGACCAGGCTGGCCTTGAACTCACAGATCTGACTGCCTCTGCCTCCCAAGAGCTGGGATTAGAGGGGTGCACCACCACACCCGGCCTCAGAACACTTTTCTAATCACCTATCTTATATCAATACCCCAGATTTTGTTTTCTTTATATTACTTTTTATTATCTGAGGTTTCTTTACTTAGTTTATGACCTGAGCCCCTCTGCCCTGTAGAGTATAAACTCCAAGAGGAGAAAGACTTGTTGGTTTGTTCTCTCCACTCTCAGATCTCAGTGCCTGGCGTTCAGCATTCAGCGTTTGTTAAATGCTCAGCACCTGGTGTTTGTTAAATGACTGAGATAGATAAGCATGGATTTCCTCTGAGCTTCTGAACCTGGACACTAAGACCCTTTCAGTGTGAGAAGGGAGCATGACAATGTGAAAAGGTGAGGATTGGTCAGGGAAACTGTGGATTACATCATCCTTGGTGAAATAGGGACTTCTGCCTTCAGGGATCCAAGTTCAATAGATTAATCCAAGTTAATCCGTCCAAAGTCATTTTCCTGTTGTAAAGATTTTATGAGGTAAAAGGCAGCAGTAAGTCATTGTGGGTACGGAGATAAGAGCTCAGTAAAGACCAGTGGAGGGATGCCCTTGGTAGGTGACACTTAAGTTTGTTACAAACCCAGTATTAAATGGATAAACGTGTTATGTTAAGGGAAGTAGAGGGGACATATGCAATTTTCAGCCTGGACATTACCATATCATTTTATTAATGATACGCCATCTTGGTTTACATACAGTATTTTATTTCTCTAGTTTTTACTTCTAAATAATTTTCTTCTTTCTTTTCTCCATGTTAATTTTGCTTTGCTTCATAGCACTTGTTTTCTATGACAGAAAGATCTCTCCTGGGGGTATCTCTACAGAGTAGCTCTACTTGGCCCTTAGTAGGTGGTTGCTGTTCCTTCCCACCTTAGTTAGAGCCCCGTCCTCTCCTAGACAGAACTTCTGTCTCAAGCACAAGGCCTGGCTTCTGTTCAGTATCTCTCTTCTGTGTTTATGTGGGGAGTCCTGATCCTGGCCCTTGCTGTGAATTGATCCACAGCCCTTGTATGTATGTATGTATGTATGTATGTATGTATGTTTATTGTTGTTAGGGATGGTACATAACTGGCATAGCCTGCAAGAAGAAACTTCCAAAATTTGTTCTCTCCTTCTACCATGTAGAACTCACTGAGCCATTTATTTAGTTTTGAAGCAAGGTCCTAGCTGGCCTGGAACTCACTGGCAGAGGATGACCTTGAACATCTGACCTGCACCCACCTGAGTGCTGGGATTACAGGTTTGTGCCACATTGCCAGGTTTATGCAGTGCTGGGACTCTAACCCAGAGCAGCCTGCATGCCAGTCAAGCACTTTACCTATTAGACTACATCCCTAGCCTGGGCCCTTTTGTATTTAAATCCTGCACTGTCAGCCTGCCGAGACTGCAAGCTTCTCTGTCTGTTGTCAGGGTTCACGCCAGTCCCAGGGTACAGACTGGCCGGGCTATGTGCCTCTAGCTCTTTTCTTCCACCTTCGGTGTTCCTGGCTGTTCTAATCAGCAGTGCTTTCCCTCATTTCCTGGGGCTGGGTATCCTGCTGCCAACTGTTCTCCTAGACTACCACCTGTTGTTTGCTCACTTCTCTGGTTATCAGGTGCTGCTCTCGGGAACTGCAGTTCCTCCCATCCCCGCTCTCACTCAGCCGGGCACAAATTGACCCCATCCTGCTATACAGCTCACTGCCCCACCTTCCCCACATTGAGGGCAGTGAGCTAATGACCTGTTACACTAGTGTTTTTCAACCAGAAAAAAAAAAAAAAAAGTAGGTAGTATCTGTGTATATATAGCAGAAAATGTTATATAGAGGAAATACATATGTATATATACTGGATATACTACAAATAATTTTTGCCTGGTAAAAAATACCCTGGCTTGTGGTTGGGCAGTGCTGATTTTTGTTTTGTTTTGTTTTTCAGTACTGAAGGTAGAACCCAGAGGTCTTGTTGAGGTTAAGCATGTGTTCTACCACTGAGCTGTATAGTGCCAGGTCCTAATCCTTGTTTTCTAACACACTGCTTGGCATACCAGTAGGTGCTAAATATTTATTAAACGGTGACTGTATGACAGTATGGTGTAGGCATCATATATGTTCTTGTCCTCTAATGGCACAACTTTCATTGACGATAGTCTTAATAGCTGCCTCCAGCAGTTAATATGAGACTCCATTTGCTTTTGAAAACTACTTTCTCACTTCTTCCAGACAAACATAATCCTGTATTTAACCAATTACCAGAACCTGCTCCTCTAAAGTGTCGATTATTTTTATTTAGTTTGCTGTGCACCTTTAAAGCGGGTCTTCCTCACTGTAGCCTGAGCTATACTAGCTCACCTCCTACGTGGTTGTCCTCTCAGCTAGACATGCCACTTTTTCTAGGCTTCTTCTAGTGAAACACCACATTCCCAATAAGTCTAGAAACCACTGCATTGTGACGACATCTGTTAACTGTGCTCCAAAAAAAGATCGTGTATCCTAACCGTCTAATTGTGAGTAGGTGCTTCTTCACCTCCCAGCTAGGAAGCCTCTCCTCCCTAGGAAGAGACAAGCTAAGGTAGGTCATCAAAATACAAATGCGTCCACACCTTTGCCTCTGCTAATTCATTGTTTTCAAAGTCCAGCTGGAGGAGGGAAGA